TGATGACGACAGCAAGTTGTGCAGCATGACGGCGTGGTCCATTGCTGCAGGCCACTGGTGGTTGGGTAGCCGCATGCCACGTAACAGTTTGCGCATGCTGTTCTGCAAGGTCCTGTTCATTCTTTCTGCTACACCCTGCTGCTGATGGGCGTACGGAAGGGAGATGAGCCGCTTGATTCCCCTTTCCGCCAGGTACTGCTTGAATCGCTGAGAGGTGTATTCTCCTCCTCCGTCTGACTGGAAGCTTTTCAGTTTCACGCCCGATTCTCTCTCTGCTACTGGTAGCCAGGCCACGAAGGCTGCGAATGCCATCTCGCGGCTAGGGAGGTTTAGGTGCCAGACGTAACGGGTGGCGGCGTCGATGAAGGTGATTGTATAGTTGTATATTACTTGTCCTGGTTCCCGATTGTACAGGATGTCGCTGTACACCTTCTCGAGTGGTGCGTACGCGGGTGCGCTTGGGTTGTGATGAGACGCAAACGGTCGATGTGGTAAGTCACCTTCAGGGCAGGTGAGGCACGTTCCGCGTACTCGTTGAAGTTCTCGTCCGTCGGTCAGTAGGAGTGAGTCCTTGTCGAGTACTCCTGCTCTTATCGTATTGTTTAATACTGTGTTGCTTGGGTGTCCCATCCTTGCGTGCCAGGTGCTTTCGTCGGCGCGATGTCCGGGTGATCGTCGGTACATATCGGAGTTGGAGTAGAAGTTGGCGGTAAATTTGGCGTTGCGATGAACTTCTCGTGGTGCTGGGTGTAATTGTTGCGAGGGTGTCGGTGGTGTGTTGTCGATGAGGAGTGGTGTCGTTGAAGGTTCAGCATTTGGTGTTGATGTTCCTGCTGCTGCCGTTGATGGTTCTGCTGCTGCCGATGTTGTCTCTGCTGCTGCCGATGTTGCTGCTGCGATGTTGTCTCTGCTGCTGCCGATGTTGTCTCTGCTGCTGCCGATGTTGTCTCTGCTGCTGCCGATGTTGTCTCTGCTGATGCCGATGTTGTCTCTGCTGCTGCCGATGTTGTCTCTGCTGCTGCCGATGTTGTCTGAATTGTTGCTAACGCCCTTGTTCTTTCTGCTTCAGGGATGGTGTGTGAATACCAGAAGCCTTCTGGACTAAATTCTGGATCAAGGTCTGGAGGGTGTGTCCAGTTGGTGAAGTTAACGATGGCGTCGCTGTCGGCGGTGCCAAGATCAGGAACGAAGTCAAGAACGAAGACGTTGTTTTTTAGGACCGCCTTGCCGATGTAAAGTCCTCCTCTCCCGTGATACAGCTTGAATTCTTGGGTGGTGCTGTCTGCTTCGAGGTGAATCCCTTTCGCCATTAGCTGACTGACGCTCAGTAAGTTGTAGCCGAGTCCCTCCGCGATTAGTACTTTTGACATCTGCAGTATAACGTTTGTTTCCCTTGACTGAAGTTGAACTACGCCTTGTCGTCGTGTTCGCATGTTCTGATTGTTGGCGACTGTAATGACAACTTCTCGTTGAAGTTGGTGTTCTCGTTGAACGAAGCGTCCCGAGGAGCACATGTGCTGTCCGCAGCAACTGTCCAAGAACCATGTGTCCTTTCCGGATGGTTCGCTTTGGGCGATGGCGGCGTATGTCGGGTTCGGCTGAAGTGACTCGCGGCGGGGTGTGGTTTCGTCGAGTTGTTCTTCCGGTGAGTAGTGTGGTGGTGACTCGGTGATGCAGGAGTCACTCAGCTTTGCCATGCAGCTGACGATGTTTCTTGCTCCTTGTGCAGGTTGTCCCGTTGAAGTCGTTGAGGCTTGAATCTGAGTCGTGGGATTTGCTTGCGTTGAGGTGATTTGGCTGCTTGAAGGTCGAAGTTGCCGCTGTGGAGTTGTTGACTGTTGACGGTTCGGGCAGTGTGTACGCGGGTGTCCTGAAGTTTTGCAGATGTGGCAGAACGGAGGTACTGGCTTCGGTTGTTGCTGCCGGTTGTTGTTGTTGTTGTAGCGTCGCTGAGTGTGGAACGCGAATTCCGGTGCTGATGTCTTCTTTTTGTGTCGTTCTTCTTGCAGGTCCATGTCTTGCTGCTCGGCGTGGATTTCGGCGCAGAGCGCTGCTTCGGAGATTCTTCCGTGAGCTCGGAGAATGGCCTTTGTGGCGCGCCATTGAGGACCGAGGCCGCTGATGAGGATTGTCACGAAGGCGTCTTCAGAAATCGACCCTCCGCATCGAAGAAGCTTGTCGCGCAACTCGCGACATCGACTGATATATGCCATTCCTTTCTCCCCTGGTTTCATTTCAACCGTTGTCAGTTGCGCCATTAACCGACTTTGGCTTACGCTGTCTGTTGCTTGATACAGGCTCTTCAGGTGGTTGTACGCGAGCTCCGCGGAGTTGCCGTAACCTCGGTAAGACCTTATGTTCTGCTGTTGAGTCGGGGTGATATTCCTCAGTAGGATCGTGTACGCCATCATTGACTGATAGGTGTACTGCTGCTTCTCGTACTGTGTGCCGTTTGTTGGGTATGGCAGAGACCCGTCGAAGAACCCGAGTATCTGCGCGCCTTCCATCATCAGCTCGAACTCGAACGACCAGGTGAAGAAGTCCTTTCCATCGAAGGGTCTTGACGTCTGCATCTTCAGGACGTGTGCGAACTGCGACTGAACTTGTAATGCGTCCAGTGATTTTTCTTGTCCAGGTGAAGGCTGTGGGTGTGGCATAAAGCTGATGGACCCGCGCTCGTACGGAGCAAAGGTAGGCTGCTGTTGTTGATTTCCTCGTGCATATGATGAGCCGTCGAGACTCATGGGTGTTGCTCCGTTGTTGTTGCTGTTGTGTGACTGCGCAGGTGCCGATTGCTGGTGTTGCTCGTAGAGGGACATGAAGGAGAAAAACTTCTCCATCATGCTCTGGTCGAAGTCTGCAGGTTGATTCGCGGGAGTCTCGGTAGATGTTGCTCTGGGTTTTGTTGCCGTGCCCTCCTCTGTCTGTAGGCCAGAGGCAGGAGGTGGAGTAGGAGTAGTGCCCTGGGAGCCGTTGGAGTTGCTCCTTTCCTTTTGTGTAGCCATGCTTGTTGGTGTTGTCGGTATAGAAGTTGAATTCCCCCTGATAGCTCTCATACCATGTTAGGCTGAAAAAAGCCCTTAGGATCTTTGCAGGGGTGAACTCTGGGTAGAGTTGGTGTAGTAGCGGAAGCGTTAATAAAGAGTTGTGAACCACCTTGCACTAGTATGTGAGGGCAAAGTAAGTTGATTAAAACAAAGAGATACAAGATTATATAGGAGTACAAGGAATATGAAAGGATACGATTATAACTGTTTTACTTGTTGCTGTTGCAGTTCGATACAGTGACGACTCGGGCAACTGCTCTGTAGCGAGTCAGTTGTGTGTCCTTGCTGTCGCGCTGTACTTGTCAGGTCAAAGGTCGCTGACCTTTGACTTTCGCGTAACCTCCAGCGGTTACTTCAACCTCCGAGGGTTGACTCGCTGGTGCCTCGGTATGCTTTGCTTCGCTTGTGCCTTAGTGTTTCGACACGACAGAAGCGCTTAGGACCGATTGTTTCCAACACCTGCTACCACAACAGTCGGCTCTCATACGATAATGAGATATTGTTTCACTGAGCCGTAAACACTCTGCTCCAGCAGATAAGATCTTAGCCTCCTGACTAGAGGAGATGGAGCATATTTGGACGAAAGCTAGGGCAAGCAATGCCTTAGGTGGAGTTCTCATGTGAAGTCAGTGAATTTAACATTCTTGTTCTGCACGCAAGCATGTCACATCAAATATATAGGTATTGGAAATTCCATAGCATGTGATCGTGATTTCAACATTGATTAAAACTTTGAGGATTTTGTAGGGGACGTGGCAAATGGCTCCACCAAGAGCAATGTGAGAATTCAGGCATTAGGATTATATGTTGTCTTGTAAGTCTGGTCACATTCTTGCAGAAATGCAGATTTTAACCCAATACACTGGGTGCTCTGTAGCGACTTCCAAACGACGTCTCCACGATGTAGGTTCATCGCTACAAGTCAAAAACCCTAGGATCGGTGGGGAACGACAGAGCATGCCTGGAACAGACAAACACATGAAAACTGTTGCAGCTCCTTGTGCAAACGCGTCGCACTTTCCAATGTCTTTTGCAAAACCCGTACAGAATGCCCCCAACCAACCCTCCCGCTCGCACAATCCCCTGCGATTTGGGAAGAAATGGTCCAACCGGCAGGTCAAGTTCGGCAGCAGCCAGATGCGGCAGACATGGGTTTCAGCTTTCGAAACTCTCTGAAGTTTTTCAGCCCACCTGACCCAGCCTGCATCTGCGGGGCGGAACCTGAGATGTGCATATCGATTGCCAAAGCCCTTCGACGTAAAACATACAATCTGAATCAAATTTGTCCAACTTCCTTTCCCTTTCACCGCCTCCTTGGACGTGACTAGGTGGATCAGAATGTGCACCAGCTTATAACGTCACGTCCAGACCAGACTCCGCGCTTCGATTTCTCGAATTCTTCGTAAGACAAGGCGCCACGACAATCTGTACCCCTCTCTGCACGGAGAACTCCATGCCCGGAGAACTCCATGCCTGACTGGGTTGCAGCGCTAGATGATTCGCGTCAGATCACTCGTCTCGTCACATCAAGGTCACATTGATAACCACACGGGTGTGGTAACCACAAGGTCGACCTCGTTGGATCACTGTGCCCCCTAGATTCAAGGCTCCTTCGATCCCTCCCAAACCTCGCGTCGGGGTGATAGCGCCGTTCCAAGCCTGATGCAAACGACCAGAGCTATCGAACCGTCCAAACATCCCATCGTCGCACCATCCGTCGCACCATCGCTCCATGGCACCGTCGTAACTTTCGTCGCTCGACGTGACCAGCATACAGTACCTCCTGTCTGCTAATAGCGACGTTTCTCAAGCTGTGACGCCTGGGCCCCTCTTTCGTTTCTCTCAATTCCTCGAGCGACTCGGCGACTTGTGACGGGACGTGGGAGGTGTAGGCAGTGTGCGACGCGACGAGAGCCGCGGAGAGAGACAGACGGGTCACGAGGGTGCACGACGATGTCTAGAAATACCCGCCGACATGAGGAGATGAGTCATTCATTCGGAGTGGTGCGACGACGACGAGAATCAGCAATAGCCGCAGCCGCCACAGCAGCAGCAGCAGCAGCAGCAGCAGCAGCAGCAGCAGCAGCAGCAGCAGCGGCGGCGAGGATTTCGAGACTTGTTCGGTTCCGTGGTCAGTGTAGAGACAGGCGCAGCAAACGGTGGTGGTGGATTCTCGCTCGTTTCTCTCTCTCCTGATTGGATCATAAGGCTGACGGGGACGTGCTGTCCTGACGGGTTCAAGAAAACACGTAAACTTCCCGCAGGTGCCTCACCAGCAACTGTCAGCCGTCCTCTCCACTGGTCGAGGCAGTAGAGGCGCAAAGGGAGACAGGCAGAGAAGCCGAGGGAAGAAGATAAGCACGTGCGGGAAGAAGATAACCACCCTGTGCTCATAAGATATATCCTGCTCGCGGGCTTCCTCTCTTCGTCCACTGCTCCTTCAGACTAGGAGATTTAACATCGCTTGCAACACCAGCAGCTGCAATACCGCCTGCAAAGCCAGTGGTATCCGCAGTAGGAGGAGCTGCAACTGGGGTGCATCGCACCTCTTCCTCTCTCCTCCCTCCCTCCCTTCGCTCCCAGAGGACGCTCTTCAAAACGTCCTCTAATGGCGAAGCCTCTCCGCTCTCCCATCCCCGGCCTGCCCCTCCTCCCCGCCTCCCTCCTCCTCGCGCTCTTCCTCCTCCTCTCTCCCTACTCCTCCCCCTTCCTCCCGCCCGCGCCGCTTCTGGCGGCTGCTCAGCCGACGGCGGCAGCAGCAGCGGCGACGGCGTCCGCGACGGGCAGGGAGGTGGGGCGCGCGCAGGAGTCGGGGTTCTGTGACCGCTTCGTGCGCCCCTATGGGCTGCAGTGCCGCGAGTACCAGGTGGGTGGGTGCCTGCCGGATTGGAGTGCTGCATCTTTGAGCCATTCTCTTGCGCCATTTTGACACATCAAAACTGCCTCAATTGTGTTGCCCGCCTTGTTCCCTGCCCACCTGCCCGGCTGCACGGCCGCCCACCCGCCCTGCTTTCCCCCCATGTCCCACCCCCCCCGCGCCGCAGATCACCACGAGTGACGGGTACATTCTGAGCATCCAGCGACTTTTGAGGCGCCTCAAAAGTCCTCCCATGTCCCACCCCCCCGCGCTACAGATCACCACGAGTGACGGGTACATTCTGAGCATCCAGCGCATCAGCAACACGTCTGTCACCGCGCCTCCCATCACCATGCCCGCTGCCTCCACCTCTGCTGTTTCTGCTGCCACAGCCCCACTCACCACCACCACACCCACGCCTGCTCCCACCAACGCGGTTTCCGCGGCCGGTGCAGCCGCTGTGGCAGCAGCAGAAGCAGCAGCGCGGACAGTGAGCGCAGCAACTGCAGGCTTATTCGCCCCCTCTGCCACCACCGGCACAACCACCCGCACCACGACTCCTGCTGCTGCTGCTGCAACCACACGGCCAGCAGGACCCGCAACAGCAACAACAGCAGCAGCGGCAAGCACCGCCGTGCCTGAGCTTCCGTCCCTGCCATCCCTCCCGTCCGGTCGCCCCATGCTTCGCCCCCAGCAGCAGCAGCAGCAGCAGCAGCTCCAGCGCCAGGAGCTACCTACCACCACCACCACTCTCCCCTCCTCCCAACCTCTCTCCCAGCCTCTCTCCCAACCCGTCGCCCAACCCGTCGCGCAGCCGCTCGCGCAGCCTCGCTCCACCTCCCAGCCGCAGACCCTGGCACAGACACAAACCCAGGCGCGTGTGCTGCCGCGGTACCCGGTGCTGCTGTCCCACGCCATGTTTATGTCCAGCGACCTCTGGTTCGCCTTCTCCAACCAGAGCGCCTCCGACCCGCTCATTCACAAGCGCGTGCCCGTGGGGCTGTGCAACCGCGGGTTTGACGTGTTCCTGCTCAACCACCGCTCCACTGAGTTCTCCCCGGGTCATGTCGCCTACAACACCCGCCAGTGGGTAAGTCACCTCTCTCAAGCAGTCACCTCTCCCTCTCTCTGCCTCTCTACATTTCTGTCTCTCTGCCTCTCTGCCTATATACCTCTCTGCCTATCTGCCTATTAAACCCCCCTCCCCTCCTCATTACCTCACTCCGCTCCCCTCCCGTCTGCCCACCAGCAATACTGGGACTGGGACTTCGACCAGCTCGCCACAATCGACATTCCATCAGCGATCGAGCTCGTGCTGGGAGTGACAGGCGCGCCCAAGGTGCATCTGCTGGGATTCAACGAGGGGGGCATGCTGCCCTTCGCCCTGGGCAGCACGTCCCCGCGCTACCTCGAGCGTGTCACTGCCTCCGTGGCGTCTGTCGCGCCAACGGTTTTCTTTCAGAATGTCAAGTCACCTGTGCTTCGCCAGTGGGCACTCGGGCCCTCGCCTGACGCTGTGAGTCTCAGTCCTGCCCCTTGCGCGCTTCTTTCTCCCGCCTCTCGCATTTCTTGCTTCGCCAGTGGGCGCTCAGGCCCGCCTGCCTGATTCTATGAGTCTGAGTCCTGCCCCTTCCGCGCTGCTTACTCCTGCCTCTCGCGGTCTGCTTTGTGTACCTCATACCCCCCCTCGTACGCTTTTTTCCCCTATCGTCTATAATTTATACCCCTCCCGCGTGCGCTTCTTTCCCAGACGCGCTCATACCCTTTGCTCGTTCTCGTCTCCCTTTGTATGCACCCGTCTGCTTCCCTTCCCCCTAACTTGCCTCTCGCCCTTCTCCCCTGATGCAACCAGGCCGTCTACCAAGCTCATCTCCTGTACGGCGCCTACAATGTCTCTGCGTACGTGCCTTTATTCCCACTTCATAAATCTGTATTTCGAAGGCACACGTTTCCATTTTCGCATACTCACGCACACCTCCGACAACTGCTTGTGATGTCCCCCCTAAGACAGCATCTGCTCCGCTCCAAGCTGCGTGTTATCTACAGCATTACGATTGTTCCCACCGCTGCATGTCTCTTCCTTTGTGATTTTGTCTGATTCATGTGTTTTCGCGATCCTGGTATGCCTGTGCCTAATCTATCCGCTTCTGTCCCGTCCTGGTGTGTGCACGGGTGTGCATGGGTGTGCATGGGGGTGCATGGGAGCAGCACGGAGATCCTATCGGGCATACTGGAGGCGGTGGGGTACAACATGCTCACCTACTTTGTCACCACGGGCGACCCCCAGGACCTGCTCACCAACATCACAGGTCACCTCTCACACACACAACCCCCGTCCCCCCTCGTGCATGCAGCCGCGAATGCAGCTATGAATGCAGCCGCGCATGCAACCAGGCATGTGTGTGCCAGTATGCCATTCATACGCATGTCTGTCCTACTGCCTGCACCTTGTATGTAACTCCTTTCCACAGCTCCCTCAGTATGATATCACATGTTACCTTCTTCCAAACCCTCACTTCCCCTCTCGTCCTTCCTCTTTCTCTCTCTTCCTCTCCCCCCATGTCCCCTCTTCCTCCCTCTTCCCCCCTCTCCCCTTCCCTCCCTCTCATCCACCGCCCCCATCGCCCTCCACCAGGCAACCCATGCTGCACGGATCCTATGGAGCCTCCTGCAGCCCCCACACCCGGGTGGATTGCCACTTCGTATCGCAACCTCATTCACTACCAGCAGCGTGAGTCAGCCATGGGGGGCGAGCCATGGATGGCATGGGGGCTGCTGCTGCTGCAATCTGCCACACGCTCCCTGCTTTTCGTTCTTTGTCTCTCTTCCTTGCCGCTGGTTCATCTGTTTTTTTGTTTTTCTTTTCCTTGCTTTCTTTCCCACTCCCCACCTCCCTTGTGCCTGCGCACATGCCCTGACGCCTGCATGCCCGCCTGACTGCACTTTGTATGGATGTGTGTATGAATGTGTGTATGAATGTGCGCATGTATGTGTGCATGGTTGCAGTGATCCGCAACGGTCTCTTCCAGCAGTGGGATGCACTCAGTGCGCAAGCCAACATGGACCGCTACGGCGCTGTCTCCCCTCCCATGGTCCGTCTCTCACACCCGCCCACTCACTTCTTCGCCTTTCACTCTGTTTCTTCTGCTGCCAGTTCCCCACCCCTCTCCCATCCGTTCCCCTTCTCTTCACACCTCTTTTATTCGAAACTTTACAGTGCCCCCCCACCTCCCTCTCCCCCCACAATTTCCGCCGGTCAATGCTACTTACACACTCCCCTTTCTCTCCCTCCTTCATGTTTCTACGTGGCAGTACTACCTATCTAACATGCCTGCGGGGGTACCCATTCTCATTATGAGTGGAGGTAACGACTGGTTTGCAGACCCACCCAACATCCAGAAGCTACTATCGCAGCTCACACCTGCAAGCACCACCAGCGCAAGTTCTACCGGTGCTGCTGGTCCTACCGTGACTCATTTGGAGCTGCCTCGTTACTCTCACCTTGACTTGCTGCTGAGCGACACTGCAGTGCAGGATGTCCATGTTCCGCTAATTGAGTACCTCGAGACAGGCTACTTGGGCGGATAAAATGCTTAGTTTTCATACTTGAGTGTGAAGCATTGTGGTAGTGATTCGGAAGCATGCAAGTACCTATCTCACTGTAGAAAGATGATTTATACATGGAATTCGAGGAACCCGCCGCATGTTGCGGACCTGTCGAACATGGCATGGCCTCAAGTATTGTACAGCAAACAACCGAACCTGGAAGAGGCACCTGGAACGTGACATGCGTCTCGGCGAGAATTCAATGCAGCCAGCAACAACCAACCGCCTTCACCCATTCGTTCCACCCCACCCCACCGCACAAAAGCAACTGTTCCTCCCTCCCCAGATTCCCCCCGCCTGACTCTGCTCCCTCCCCCACTCCGCATAAGTCCCCGTCCACTGCTTTCTCTCCAAGTCGTGCCGTGTCTTCCCTCCAAAATTCTCTTCGCTCGGTTTGTTGGTGCCTGTTTCACGACGTCGTGAAATTCTCGACTTCGCCTCCCTGGACCCACCAGAAACTATTCAGGCACTCCGCTGGCAAAAATACAACTCATGGAACACACTGTAGTGACTTGGTTGCACCACCAGTACCCCTCTTCACGCCTCCCCTGTGCTTGTTAGGGCGTGTCTGAAGTGCAAACGTCGAGTTTCGTCAAATTTCGTCGACGAAACTCATCCGTGGGACCCACGCGTGTTGGTGTCTGAAGTGCAGCCTGACATCCCTCGACGAAACTCGACGTTCGTGCACATGTCGAGGGATGTCGAACAGTGATACCGGGCAGCTGTTTGAGTCACTGTAGTCAGTGAGTGTTTCAAAAACAATTCTTCGACACGCCATGTCTGCATAGCTGTGGCAAACACACGTGAATAAGAACTAAGACGAGAGCGACACGTGCTAGAGAAATTTCGCTGGCAATGTGACAGTAGAATATCCGGTGTTACCAGCAACAATCTATGCTAAGCGAAATTCGCGAGATTGCAAACAATTGAGTTACATGAATGATTCTGTTAATTCCACGTCGAATTTTCATGGGCAACTTATAACAGTGTTCCTATGGCACGTGTGGGTTATTTTGTCGTGTGGGTGTCTGAAGTGAACACAGCTGAAAACGGATGTCGAGTTTCGTCAAGGAACGTCGACGAAAGTTTCGTCGGCAAACGTCGAAATTCACTTCAGACACGCCCTTAGCGGCTGCAAGCGCGCTGTAACAGCACGCGCTGTTACTATGGCTGTCTATTCCCGCAGCAAGCGCTGGGCCAGAACGCGCCTCGTACTCCTCGCGCACCCCTTTCGCCAATCTGCTTCCGCTAAACTTCCTTCCGCCTTAGTCCCTCCTGACCTCCCGTCAACGAAGTCAACGTTTTGAGCGTGGGAAAACCCCGATCATGCTACTCAACGTCACAGGTACTACCACTACTACTCACTCGACCTCCCTCGAGTATCGCCCACAAAAATCCGTGCAACAACGCCCAGCATAGCTATACAAGCGCCAGTAGTGCTCGAGTTGTCGCCGACGTAGTAGGGGCTATATACTTGTAGTGTTATTTCCGCTTCTCCAATCTTACACTCCCATTCTTATCCGCATATTTCCATTCTGACACAACATTATGGCGTCATTCTCTCGTGGCCTCCCGTCCTCCCTCCCCGTCCCCTCGCTCCTTACTTTCCTCGCTCTCCTCGCGCTCATCGCCCTCCTCTGCCCCGCGGAAGCATACATCAAGCCGAAGTGCGTCGCGGAGGTGGCGGAGGCCGACCGGGAAGCCGTGCGCGCGGTGTACGCGGCGCTGCCCGAGGGGATGTTCTTCTGGCACGACGGCAACGCGGCGCTGCCCGAGGGGATGTTCTTCTGGCACGACGACATGTTCGACCAACACGGAAACGTCACGTACTGCCCCATTGTGCCCTCGCCCTGCGACTGGAGCCCCGACTGGAGCCCGTTCCAATGCACGCCCGCCGGCCGCATCACGCGCATCTACTCCGACCCGAGCCGCCAGGATATGCCCGGGCCCGGCGGGAGCGGAGGGAGCTGTCCGCCCGGCGCGCTGTCGCCCGCCATTGGCGACCTCGCGGAGCTCTCATCGCTTGTTTTCCGCCACTCGTGCCTCGCCGGAGACCTGCCAGACTCCGTCACGCGCCTCCAGAAGCTGACGGAAATCGTCATGCCCGAAAACAACTTCTCCGGGCCCATTCCGCCGGGCCTCTTCCGCCTGCCCGCGCTCCGCCACGTGGATCTGAGCACACTCAGTACCGACCCGGAATTTCAACTTCAGTTTCAAGGCCTATCGGGGTTCCTTCCCGACGGGCCCGACGCGTACTCTTCGTCTTTGGAAGAGGTTATCCTGTCCGGCAACGCGCTCTCTGGGGAGCTTCCGCGCGCCCTTCTCCGCGCGCCTGCGCTGCGCCAGTTGGACCTGCAGAGCAACAACATCACGGGGGAACTCCCAGGTGATGCGGGCGCGTATTCGCGGAGCATTACTGCGCTCATCCTGCGCAACAACAGCCTGTCCGGCGCCATTCCGCCCGCGCTGGCGGAGATGACGGCGCTGCGGAAACTCGACCTGGGGGAGAACCGTCTATCCGGCGCGGTGCCCGCTGCGCTGCGCGACTCCCTCAAGGCGCTCGACGAGGTGCGGCTCGACAGCAACGCGCTCACTGGGCCGTTCTGCGACGCGCTTCTGCCATCTCGCAAGCTCTGGCTCGGCTTCAACGACCTGGGCGGCGGCGGCGGTGGCGGCGGCGGCGGAGGTGAGGAGGAGGATGAGGGCTCTCTGCACAGCTGCGTGCTTCCCGCGAAGCTACAGCTACTCAGCGCTCCGCACGCGGGGCTGCGGGGGAACGTTCCGCCCGACCTGTTCCTCGCGACGAACGCGCAGTCGGGGCGCAAGCCCTTTCGTGGGTTTATGATGGACCTGAGCCACAACAGCCTCTCGGGCAGCCTGAAAGCTTTCGCGGTGCTTCCGTCCGGGGCTTTGGATCTGTCGCACAACAACTTCTCCGGCGGCATTCCCGAGGTGTTTTACAGCGAATTTTCGCGCGTGGACCTGCGGTTTAACGACCTGCAGGGGCCGCTGTTCGACGCGCGCTCGGACTCGCGGTATGGTGATTGGAGTTACGACTGGGACGTGCTGCGCGTGAGCAACAACAGCGCGCGCATGGCGGGCGCCGTGGGCGCGGGGTACCTCCCCGCGCCGGCGCCTGACGTGCGGACCTCCGCTGCGGAGACTGCTGCGCTGCTGGCGGTGCGCCATGCACTTCTGGGGGAAGCCGCAGGAGGTGAAGCAGCGGGAGGAGCAGGGGGGGGCGCAGTGGCGAAATCGGTGGCGGATGGCGGAAACAGCTCGTGGGCGGAGATACTGCGCAGCTGGGACGCGAGCAGCAGCAGCGCGTGTGCGTGGTACGGCGTGGGGTGCACAGCAGACGGACACGTGGACACGCTGCACCTGATAGGCGCTTCCAACGTCATGCTGCACCCCAACTTCGTCCCGGAATTGGCCGAATGCGAATACGACCAGTACGGAGACCTGACATGCGCGCACGACGTTCCGCAGCCTCCCAATACGGTTTCGTTCTTCCTGCAGGGCCTGCCTGGCGGCAGCTCGAGCAGCAGTGCGAGTGGGAGTCTGTCAGAGGCGTTGGGGCAGCTGACGCACCTCACATCGCTGCGCATCTCCGGGCACGCCCTCTCCGGCGGCCTGCCGCCGTCCCTCTCACGCCTCTCTCACCTCGTCGCTCTCGACCTCTCCTCCAACCGCCACCTCTCTGGCTCCATCCCCCCCGCCCTCTTCGCCCTCCCCTCGCTGCAAGAGCTCACTCTCCGCGGGAACAACCTCACGGGAGAGGTCCTTCCAACCACCACTGCAGCAGCAGCAGCAGCGCAGCCGTCACCGAGTTTGGAGAGTCTAGACGTGGGGGGGAACGCTCTCTCGGGGTCCATTCCAGCTGCCGTGAGTCTTCTGACGGGGCTGACGCGCCTGGCGCTGGACCACAACCGGCTGGACGGCAGCTTGCCAAGGGCGCTCGGCGCGCTCTGGATGCTCCGAGACCTGCAGCTGCAGGGGAACGCCCTCCAGGGGGACGTCTCTGCACTCGCTGCCGCCTTTCCCTCCCCTGCTGCTACTACCGACGATGGCAGTACCGCCGACAGTGCGCCTGTCTCGTGGGGTCTCGGGGGGGTGTTCCCGCTGCTGGCCCGTCTGGACGCCAGCAATAACCAGCTGTCAGGCGATGCAGCCGCGCTCTTCCCTCTCCAGCCATACCTCCACACGCTGAACGTCTCACACAACCGCCTCATGTGCAGCCCCGGCAAAGCCTCCTGGAGCACCACCTACATGGACCTCTCACACAACCGCATCCGCACCCCGCTGAATGACCTCTTTGTGAACTTCTACGGTTGCCACTCGAGGGTGCTGCGTCTGTCACACAACCAGCTGTCGGGACCCATCCCTGCCCCGCTCCTGGAACGCACATTGCCGGGCGAGATGGACCTGTCACACAACCTGCTCACGGGTTCAATTCCTGCCGTCACAGCTTACACGGAGACGCTTGATCTGTCGTACAACCAGCTGTCTGGAACCATTCCCGAGCTCAATGGCTCCCTGAAATCATGTGACTTGTCCCACAACCAGCTCACCGGAAAAGTTCCGCCGACACCGCCAGACATGGTGCATCTGAACGTGAGCTGGAACCAGCTTGATGGGATTGCCACGTGGCAAGTTAGGGATTTGAGAAGTCTGGACGTGTCTCACAATGCAATGGCTGGAAATCTGCCGGTTTTGGGTCACAGATATGGGCTGCTGAGCCTGACCTACCTGGACCTCTCCTACAATGCGTTCTCTGGCACTCTTTCAGAAAAGTCCTTACCATTTTGGGGGAACGTGACAGCTGCTCCAGCAAGGATGGTGCATCCGTGTGGGGCAGAGGTTCGGCTGAGCCACAATGAGCTCACTGGGAGCATCTCTAGTTCCGTCTTCTCCGCGTGCCTGTCGCTGCTCGACCTCTCCCACAACCGGCTCTCTGGCCCCATCCCAATCCCTCCCCAGGG